AGAATGGGTGGTTTCTTGTCTTCCAGTTCCAAATTAACCTAAATGGCAGTCTTGTTCAGAGTAGTATAATTTGATTTGGTTGAAATGCTATTGCAAGTTTAGCTCAAGTATCGACCTTTCCTCTCTCAAAAATGGTATATTTCACATGCAGGACTCCTAGAAGTGCCTTTTCGATGTCAGTTGATCCCATGGTTTTTGGCCCGTATTGGGTTTCCGTGACAAAAAAGTGTTGACAACATTTTCATTCTATTTCAAAAAATTTTTGGAGGTCAAGCGCAGAATTTTCAGTTCCTCTGACAATTTCTTCAGACTGTGGCTATTAGTGATTTCCTTTATAAGCGAGCCGACTGCTTACTGCAATTGTCTATGTCCAAAACGCTTCACAGACATATTTGATGGATGTGACCCCAGCTGCGCTTCACGAAGTTTCAAGATGGTTAATATTTGAAATACGACTACTTTCAAAGCGATAATATACACGCCTGTTCTCGTAGTTCGATCGATCTATATTTTATGCAGCCTGCCAAAATTTGATTATGCCAGTCTAATACCGTATATGTTGGCTTAAATCAGAACTTCCTTAATCAGTACAATATCAATATTATTTACGTACTGCCAGTGAAACGAAAAACAATAAAATTTAAAGTTAATAAACAGTAACAGTGTAAATAATGGGTAAAGCAATAACCACAAAAACAATAAAATTAATCCATAGTGTTATGGCAAAATTTCGATACAAAATTACGAACGAAATATTTACTATGAAAAGATGCTACAACAAATTATAAGATTTCAACCTGTAACTTTTAAACCGTGTTCCGAATGCTCTTGCTGTTCGTCGTAAACCGCAGTTATTGACCAGAACGGCAAACAACTACGGTAGTATTTTTCAAACAACCGCTGCCCTGACAACTACTAACAACGAAGTCTAAGTGGTGCTCTCAGAAGAAGGATCTTGGGACAACCAATCATCGGTCATCTTTTTAAACCTATGGCAAAAAAGTGCGTTAAATAGATTGTGTACGTTTCGATCATTTTTGCTCTAATAATCACACACTGTAAAGAAAACTACAGAAAAACTAAACGGCCGCTCACAGAAACTGGGTTCAGCTCTGGCAAATGCATTATTAACGAAGCGATGCAAAACTGATGCAAATAATAACTCAACAAAGTAATCGAAACTGCATATCTGAAATGAAGAAGTAGAATACAAGTGGAAAATACTACTTCAAATGGAATCAAAGATTCAAAGCCTCTTTTTACAGACATTACGCAGTTTCCTTAGACGTTGAACAACATACGATGCACGTCGGCTTGAGGGATTTGCTGTCGTTGAACTGCATAGAAGTGAAAGTTGATTTGGAGGCATGCGTTTTGATCAAATCTGATAAGTTCTTTAAAGAATTCATAAATGAGCCGCAAAACGAGGTGTATCTAGATAATAAGATACAGCATAGGTTTACAAAAGAATGACAAAACTTACAAGTTTACAGCACAGTGGTCACTGAAGATAATGCAGACATCGATCATAGTATCATTAATCCACTTCTCCAGGGCCTCGTCAGTGACTGACACAGATAAACTTGCGTCGGACTAAATCGATGCAGCTAATGAACTAAAGGGAGACTAATGGCTTTACCATGATGTACAAACCTTCCGTTTAGCTGCCAAGTAAAGTTCAACCCCAGCTAAGCTGCTAACAGGGATCCTGGTTTCAGTACCTAAAACACGTTCGTAAGAAAACAACCCGCTGTAAAACTCGCGGAGGTAGTGATGGCGACTGCTGCCACAGAGACTTACCATTGCAAAAAAGTTTCGAAACCCAATCCAACGCTAAAGACGAATTTGCAACGTTCTGAAATACTATAGAAATTCTCAGAACATTTTCTCGTCCTCGGTGCTTTGGCTCATTCAGAACATTCAGAATCCGAACGATAGACAAATTAGGCATTTCAACTAGATGTAAGTAGCAACCGCTAGAAAGACTGGATACGTCCTCGAAATGATGATGCATATGCTTTGGATTAATGCGATCGATCCTTGGCTCAGAGGCAATCTTCGTTAAAGAAAAGTTCAAAATCGTCACCGTCTCTGGCAAGACTACGGCAGTTTGAGATATAGTAAAGAACCTAAAAGAAATCTGAATCGGTTAATACTTCAACGGCATGAAAATCGTCAAAAAGGTTTAACCTAAACACCTAGTCACTAGCGTGCCGTTATTATATTCAAAACGTAAAATCAAAATGGACGTTTGCCCATTCAGTGATACATTCGATTAAATGTTCATGTAAGGACAATAATCTAAAGAGGGAGCAAGACACTTCGAAGGCCAAATTTCGTAGCATATGCCTCTTTCCCTTACTCCTAATTAAGAAGCAGACCATTTAGGAAAACCAGTTCATCGTATTTGCGCAGCGAGTGTTAGATGCATTTCACATCATTTTGTTCGTTAGATCAACCTCATGCTCAGAATGAATTATGCTTCAGAAGTTAACACATTAAATGATACTGTATGTAAGTGAAAACATTCAAAATAACCTAAGATACTGCAGGCATACATGTATTGCAGATGCTATAGTGCCACTACAATTAAATTAGTTATCGAGGGACTTTAACAGACGCTTTATTGGTATGCTGCGTTATTTACCTGTTTTGCAAATATCAGTGCAAACGAACAACTGTCCATAATATAATACAGCACCTTCACCTGATTGACAAATATCCAATCAACGTTCTGTTTGCATATCGCACATCAACGTTCTATCACTAAATCGTCAAGATGATGTCGAGCATTTATTCCATCCCAGGACCAAAAAACATCTGTTCAGTGTTTTAATAAAAAACAAACTGTTCATGTTACATGTACGAATATGAACAGTGATTCATTTCTTTCGCTGCATCTGAATGAGTGAAATGATACTTTACTCCTGAACAAAATTACCAAGAATCGAGCATTAAAGCATTTATAAAAAAATGGCAGTTTGATAGCTAAAAAATGAAAAAATGAAAAATAACTAACTGTTGCGATATCCGCCTCCGTTAACTTCTGTAATGGACATAACCTTCTTTGATAAAACTTAGAATACGAGGTGATCCCCGTTCTAACGTAATCAGGTAAGAATTTTAAATGACAGTGTATAATCTCCTGCGGTTCTTTTCTCACTTAGTCCTTCCTTCTCACTTTTCAATTGTGATATTCATTCTATCTATAGCGGAAGGATGAACGACAAGCGACCTGCCGGTAGTTCAAATCGGCGAACCCTCGACTGCAAGGCAGCATACAATTAATCGAGCTACTTCGATGGCAATAACCAACTTATGACTAAGCCCATGTAAGCTCAATTATTCCTGAATTTACTGTACTAGATTTATTGATTTTAATCGCTTCGCTTTTGTTTCTTGACCTTTGTCCATTTATACTGAAAATTTAACTGATTTTCAAAGCAGACTATAAATCATAAAAGATATGTAAATATATCCCATTATTAATTAAGATTTAAACAAAGTACTAATAAGTTGTCTATCTCAAATATCGTTCATTTAATTTCCAATCATCTGCAAAATCAGATGTCAGCGGTGGAAGTCTGTATTAAAAAGCTGAAAGCATCTACGGCACAAAGCATCTGTAAAAAAACCTTACAGTGGATGAAAAACGGTCACCGAGTAGTTTCCAGGTAACAGTAGTCGGTAGTATTCACCAGAACTGATTGAACTAACGTTATGACTTATGCCTTGTACATGAACGATAGCTCCAGCCAATGGCAAATCGCTGTCGTCCAGTATGAATCCCTTTATTCCGTGATGAACCTGAAAATATGGTGCTTAGCTTCGAATTAAAAAAGGAAAAAAAACAACACTATGTGTAAAAAAATCTTAATGATTAAACACCATCACATCTAATTGAGTATAATAACATGATAAACTAAGTGAATGCAAGGAAAAACTCTAGATAATGGCCTTAGGCAATGCATCAGAGACAATCTTTAAAGCATGAGATGGATAGCTTCTTTTTATGATGAAAACGGACCTGTTCGCCGAATCAGTTTGCATAGATGGAAAACTACTAATTTTGCTGCTGAAATACAATGCGCAATTTAATCTTTCAACAATGACGGAGTCGAGGTAATTAAAGGAGTCAACTTTTTCGATGGTTATTGAGACAAAGCTATTTATGTCGATCTGATATGCCGGAAGAGACTGCTATTTATGAGGCATTAATATGCTATTCAACAGACAGTTCCTCTACGTTTACGCTTAGGAGGATTGTTTGCCTCATTACATAATTCGATGCTAAGAACGCGACGTTGTCTACATAATCGAGGTCAGTGTTAGGAAAGCCATAGTTGAACTCCACGCCCTCGCTTCCCTCGAACGTAGTGCGCAAAATTCAATCGAGAGCAACGTTTATAAGGTCAAGTGAGACAACACTGTCAAACTCCTGAGTGCATATCAAACAGAAATGTCTTTATAGATTATCACAAAAGACTCATCCTTCCGTCCGGTATGCCTTGATGAACCGAACAGCATAGGAGAAATGCTTAATATCCTTGTGTTTACCTAAAAACTCAAGAAAAATTCTCATGTTCCCATAAATATTAAACTTCTGCATAACATTATTCACATCGTTTTTGATCTTGTATAAAGCTCAAGAAACAACTATGATCGCATTGTGCAATTATTATTCAAAAAATGAAAGACAGCTACAAAAAGATGCGTATTTACCGTCGAATTCAGTCTCACTCTTGAAAATGCAAATGGGTATTATAATAGAGCTGCTAGCGCTCATATCAAAGCGTGAACTTCAATTATTTAATGAAGAAAACTCAGGGACGGACGCAAGACAAACTGAGAGTAACAGGATCACCGAGGGAATTTGAGAAATGAATGAGACTTGGATACAACATGAGTACCACTACCGTGAAACGGATAGTAAAATGGCAAAGGTGAGAACTTGAACGCCCGTAATCTTGTTATTTGCTTCTATTCCGTCGAAGACAAAGTCAGATTTTTACCTGGTCCAAGAACAACAGAAGAGAATATTTGTGTTCATTCCAGTATCTGTGCAACATCGACGCGTACGGATACTTGAAACAGTTCATCTCGATCGTCAGATGAAAGTCATTTGTGTTCAGGTAACTCCAGTCTTGTAAGCCTCCTGAAATAAATAATAACCATCATGACGTGCGACATTTATCATTGTTTCATCTCCTCCAACACCGTGAATATTATTTACATATTCTACAACAGTAAGGAGTTTGTCCTGGCCCAAAAAATAACCTCAGCAACTAAGTATCATCAATCGCCTATTACTTCTCCAAATTTATGATCAGTTGAAGTTTACTGTGATCAGTTTAAGATATTTTCATGTGCTAACTATAAAGTAATTCACCTGAAAGGGTGTACCATGACGCACCGTTTACTATTCCATTATAGAACATGTCCCCATTCGGATATACATCGCAACGGTAGCCGCTAATCCACATATCCTTATGAGCCTAAAGATGATTGATGGACATCAACAACACGAATCGTTCTCTGAGCAGTTCAGCTATGCAATTTTCATAAGATAAGAATTATGAGGAAAAACGAATAACCATTACCTGAACATGAATCTGTATGTCAGCTAACGATTTCGCGAAAAGGAATTGCAATATGTCAAAATCTAAGGTGGAAAGTTAAAGCTCACTCACCTTAGAGTTACACAGATTCATTTAATATCGCTGCTGCTATCATAATCAAAAAGAAACAACAGCTTTTACAGAAGTCCAAAGCTACCGCATCCTGATGATATGAACAGCGTCTTGGTGTAAATGTACTATTTGCAAACCACCTTGTCTTGCTCGCATCTTCTGAAACTGATCTTCAGCACTCTCTGGAAAGTTCGCAGACAAGGGCTACATGGCCAGAATGTGTGTGAACAGGTTTAAAATCAAAAGTCTAGTGCTTTCTAGTTCTCTTGCCCGCTGCGCTCTGCAGTTACATGAAGAAGCAATGAAGCACGCTAAAAAATCTGCCTATCTTAGGGTCGTATTTACTAATGATGGGTAATAAGAGGAAGAGTTCTTCCAGCGAAATGGAATGGCCAGCGGCGTTTTTTGTGAACTAGCCCGAAAAGTTGTGACTAAGGCAGAGCTAAGTCTCAAGATTAGGTTGTATGTATTCAAGTCGATATTCATCCTGACGGTCACCTACGGTTATGAGTTATGGACCGTGACTGAAAAGCTTTGATCCAGAATAAGGGGCTGAAATTGACTTTCTGACATGAATCGCCAGAGTCATGTGTCTCGACATGATCCGAAATTCACATATCTGAAAGAGCCTTTGAGTGCAGCCGCTGCGAAGTCAAGCTGCAGTAGTCTGGGCACGACTTGGGAATGTTTTCAGAAAGAAAGGCAAAATAGCGATTACTTTTTCAAGTAATTGTCCGAAAACGCCGAGAACGTGTAAAAATAACAAGGAACAAGCATCTAGAAAACTCTGTTCCAAACTCAGGTTATCCTGTGCGAAGGATCAAACGCTGACACAAGTTGGAGGAACATTGGAAACAAAGTCTACCGCTTCTACCTTCGCGAACTGAAAAGATAAGAAATCATCGAAAATGACTGACTGACTGACTGACGAGTCGTTAAAAGTTGCCTGAAGAAGCCAATAGAACAACGATTGCCCTTCAAACCTAACATCCCGCTTGAACCAGGGGAGGAGAGCACGAGAGGACAAAGCAAAGTGGACAGCTCAGCGCTGTAACAACTGTCAAGGTCTGCCGTAAACTTGCAAACGGTCTATCACCAAAGCTACGACGAGGAACTGTAAACCACTTAATTGTTAACGTTATGCCTGTTCTATCATGATCTAACATTGTAACATTCGCAAGTATCATGTACAGGGTTAAACACACCTGCATCAGTCAGCCACTACGTTGCATTTTAACATAAGAGAAGATTGGAGTCCGTCAACGACCAGCAGAAAGGGTTAGCAGACAAAACTCAGAATAAACATTAAAATAAATTCATAGAAAACACACGTGTATATATTATCGTCTAAAGTGGTAATTCGACAAAAGCGTATGGAGTATGGACTGAAATCAACTGGTTATTCAGTGCAGAATGGCCATATGTGGATTTTAATGCAATACTGTTTAACCTTCAGCACAGAACACAGGCAGGCTTAGAGACCACCCACTGAAACCATATATGAGTTTCAGTCCATATCGATATGAACGGATCACCACTCTTGACTACTGCAGATAAATAAAACTCTTGTTGTCGGTCTTAATTATTAAAGACAAGACAAACAATCACATAACGGTGATAAAGAAACATTCAGCGAAGCATCTGGCAACCAACCATTACCCGAGCATATGTATGCGCCAGTTTTCTAAATAAAGCATCGTCTGGAGTCGGCTGCAGCTGCGCTATTCCGGTGGAAGTGTCATCAAACGGATAGTTAGCAACCGTGCTGCCTCCATGAAAATTCGCCGATAACACAAAAGGAACACTGCGACTCCATCTGATGACTGCATCCACTTCAGGTTGGAGAGGACCGCCGCAAAACTGCGGGAATCGACATGGAAAATTGCGGTTCAGATCAATGTTATTGGAGTTGTTGCGACC